GCGCGGGCGCTTGCCGGCGGCGAAGCTCTTCGCGCCCCTTCCCGTGGGAGCAGAGACGGGAAGCCCCCTCCCCCACTCGCAAGAAGCGGGGAGCTCCCCCGTATCGCAGCTTAGCGTCCCGGCCTGCTTGCTGCCATCGACCCCGCTGGGCCACTAACACTGCCCCGCCTGTCCCTAATGCCCGGTTCTGCAGTGCTCGGCACCGTCCGGACAGGTAGCATTGCGAGCCACCACCGCTGTGCGAGTCAGCTGCCTCTCCTGGCTCACGGGCTCGTCTGCTGTGGAAATAGTTGGGGTGATTGAGTCACTGAAGCACTGGCACGGATTCCCAGCCGCTGAGCCCCAGATCCGTACTAACACTGCCCCGCCTGTCCCTAATGCCCGGTTCTGCAGTGCTCGGCACCGTCCGGACAGGTAGCATTGCGAGCCACCACCGCTGTGCGAGTCAGCTGCCTCTCCTGGCTCACGGGCTCGTCTGCTGTGGAAATAGTTGGGGTGATTGAGTCACTGAAGCACTGGCACGGATTCCCAGCCGCTGAGCCCCAGATCCGTCTCCCTGCGCTGTCTGGATACATCATGCTTTTCTCCATGTGCCCCCAGCTCCGCCCCCCTCCGAGCCCATACGCAGTCTCACCTTGTGGAGGTGGTTTGTAGCAAATGCATATTGCTGTCTGACAAACGTAGCACCCTTGCTTTCCAGACTCTTGTAGAAGAAAGGTTGCATCTTTAAACAAGCTGCAAAATTCAGGAGGCAAAGGGGATTCAAATTTTCACCTCCTCGCCCCATTTGGTGTGAGGTGAGAAATCTTAGACTCATATTAAAACTACAGTTGCCATGTTGTATCTTCTCCTGATTGCCTCAGCCTTGTGGCCTGCCGTTTTTTTAAAAAGATACCTGTATATAGGGTACTCTTTAGGGTGAAATGTAGTGTATAGAGGAGTAGATATTTATAAAACCCTCTGAGTTTAAAACATATTTAGGGCTGCTAAATTTGATTGGGGGTTAGTTTCTAAGAAGTTTTGTCTTCCATTGTTGAAGAATTGACCAAACCCCTGCCAGATCACCTGGAAACATATTTGAGTTATGGTTATAATGTCATTGGACTGTCTTGATATTAAACCTAACTTGTCTGGACATCTTAGCTGTTAAATACTGTCAAAATGACTACACATTCCAAAAATAAGTCTCTGTATACACCTGCAGTGTGTGTGCGCTGTATGTACGATATAGCACACTTTCTTCCTGGCAGCAATGCAGGTGCAGACCTGTCTGTAAACAGACCATACAGCTTTTGAATGTTAGTCTGTGAAGAATGCAGCTAGTAACCCCCTAGTCCACTTCCCACTTGACTCCTTTGTAACCTGCTTGCAGATAGGGCAAAGCTTGTCTGCTAGTTTGTGCTTTCTACACCAAGGACTATCTGTGTGCAGATATAGTTATGTAATTATATCAGCAGGCAAAGGACAGAAAAGCAAAGGGCAAAAATGAATCTTTGATGCATCACCATGTTTAGAGACTAATGCAGTGTAACCCAGAGTAGTTGAGGGACATTGGCAGAGAGGATTTATGCCCTATGCTTGGTCTGTGCTTAAATGCTGCAGTGGCACTACTGCATGCTGTAATGCTTCAGTGAAGAGGCTGCTTATGCCAACAGGAAGTGCCTTTAAGAGAGTAAGTAATCCAGCTCCCTAAGAGGCAGAACTATGTTGATGAGGGTCTTCTCTAGTCTTCAACTGCTGCAACCAATTGCATTTGGCTAACTGGGTGGATCAGGCTATTAAATTACTGCCTCTCTGTGCATTTCATTTTTTGTAGCTTTCAGAGTGTAAACATTTTCAACTGCTTAAATCCATCAAACAGGTATCAAGCTTTTGTTGGTGAAATTATATAGGTCTCAACCCCCCTTAAGAAATGGGGATTAGAGGGTCTGATCGCAATGAAGCATCTTGCCAAGTCAGTTCTTCAGAAATGAGGGTCTAGTGCCAGGCAGGGCCTGGTCTATCTCTAGAACTTAGGTTGAACTAGCAGCATTGCTCAGGGATGTGTGTGGGAGAATTGCATCCTGTGTGAAATCCTTAGTCCTGTCCTGCCCCCTCCCCCCATGCAGCTCCCACTGTGGATGCAGTAAGGTTGACAGAAGAATTAGCTACTGCCTCAAGGGGATGGATTTATGGTGGGGAGGGAATAACTTCCTTCACCATAGGCAGTGTCACCACTAGAGTAGTGCAAAAGCGGCGAAGTCCTGTGGCACCTTATAGACTAACTGAAGTGTAGGAGCATAAGCTTTCGTGGGCAAAGACTCATGCATCTGACGAAGTGGGTCTTTGCCCACAAAAGCTTATGCTCCTACACTTCAGTTAGTCTATAAGGTGCCACAGGACTTCGCCGCTTTTGCTTGACACTAGAGTAGTATAACTGTTGCAGCACTTGTAGTATAGGCACTCAGAGATGCTGAGTGCCTTGTTTAGTTGTGGGGATGGATTCAATAGTCTACTGAAACATGCAATTGGTATTAACCTTACTTCAGTTCAGAACAATAAATCAAGGCTTGACTAACAGTATATATTAAAGGACAAAGTTGAACACTGGTATTTTTTCTTTCTATGATAGTGTACTGAGACATTGTAATTTTAGTATGTCTCTTATTGACACTCCATAATGATGAAATGGGCGCTAAAAAGGACCTCAAATTTTGATAGGGATGTTGTCTAAACAAAAGTAACTGCAAATAAATGCCCTATGTATTGGCTAGCTAAAAATTGGGTTCCTGCTGCTGAAATCAATATAAACTTGATTAGATGTCAGTAGGAGCAGGCCTTTCTCATGCAAATTCCCCTTTAGTTTGCAATCTAGTACCATAAGTATGCTTAAAATGAGGATAGTAACTGAGAACTGTCAATGAGACCTATTCAGGCCTCCAATCACCTACCTGTTGTCTATTGATCACAAAAATATAAAATCCTGTCAAATTTAACTTATTTAATCCACTCAACATGGATAGATATCTGCATGCAGTTCCAGTCCTATGTGCTACACTTGACAAATGTGTTCAGTAGGAATAGCAGTTATGAAGTATTTTAAGTTCAAGGTTATTAACAAAGTTTAACCTATTTGAAAGCTAAGCTTGTTTCCTTTTGAAAGTTATCCAACAGTAAAGAGCTTAGTTATGGGGAGGGAATTTTCCTGGCAGAAAGTTGCCTCTGAGAATATCTGCATTTAAAGAACTAACAGCAAATGAGCCCACTTTGTGGCTAAATGGATATATAATGGTAATCTGTCAAAATTATTAGTTTAACATGCACCTCTGTTTGATACATGATACAAAGACCAGGAAAATGAGGATTCTGTTTAAATGGAAAGTAATAGTTAGTTCTGGGAGAATTCTGCACCACTGCATGCATGCAGAATTCATGTCTCCCTACAGATTTCTTTGCTTCCCTTTGAAAAATGGATTTCTTACAAGGAAGCTGCAAAAGCAGTCATCCCTCCCCAGCACCTTTGGCACCCAGAATGCTGGCTGGTGTCTCCTACTCTGCACCAGGCTCAGCTGCTAGTCCTAGCTGACAAGGGATCTCCTTTCTTGGGACTAGATTAGGTTCACCCCCAGAAGCTTCCCCAGCTGCAGGAAGTGCCATATACCTCTCCATCCCTACTTCCTGTCGCATTGCTCTTCTCTCTGGGAGGTCACTGTACATGGAACTGCTCACCTATCTGCCATGTCACCCCTTCATGTGGCTCAAGCACTGAGACTCTTGCACTCAAACCCCCACCCTGACTAGCATCATCCCCCTGTACCACTAGGACAAGGGCCTAAGCACCAAGCTCCACTGAGCACCCCAGACCACCCTAATGAGCCCCAACCAACTTTTCCTAGACCTTCTCTCAGCACCCCCCCCCCCCCCCCAGCCCCCCCCCCCCCCCACCTGGATCCCCTCCACAATTGAGCCCACATCCAGATCTGGGGACAAGGGCTAAGCATGTGTGAGCCTTCTTCTCTTCTCTCCCCCCCTCCCTTCTCCCTAGACTAGCCCTTGTGATGTTAGTCATCCCTGTGGAGTCTGTATCCTATGGGGAGGATAATGGTGCTGCCGAGTGGTCTATGCAGCCAGTGGCCTGTATGCTCCTCATGGACATGCTGGAGCCTCTCTGATTATTATGTTAAACAGAATTTTAAGAGTGCTGGGTTTTAAGTTTTGTGCAGAATTACCTTTGGATTAAATATCCTGGCTGCTGAGAATAGTGGATCCTCGTCTAATTATGGTTTGTATTGGCACAAACATGTATTTGATTATAGTTGATGCATGACACAAATGGCTTCTTCATTTCTATATAACGCAGACAATGAAGGTTGGGTAGTGAAGATGCCAGTACAGGCAGTCCCCGGGTTACGTACAAGATAGGGACTGTATGTTTGTTCTTAAGTTGAATTTGTATGTAAGTCAGAACTGGTACATACTGTAGGGGGAAACTCTAGCCAAACATTTCTCCAGAGCTCAGTTTTATTCTCCCACACCTCACTTCCCTCAGTCCTTTATTCTCAAGCTGAGGTGTCTGCTGAGAAGCTGCTCCACGTCTCCCTGGTCTGCTGGGGGGAAGCAGCTAGTGCGGGGTTGCCTCACCCCGTTTGTAAGTAGGGATCCGATGTAAGTCGGATCCATGTAACCCGGGGACTGCCTGTACTTATTAGTGTCCAATTGACACTTGCTGCTCTAATAGATTTTCTTCGTAGTCTTTTTCTGGATTCTCCACTGAACATCACTTGTCTTGTACTGGTGTTGAGTCTTGAACGGTGTTGCACAGGGGCGGATGAGAATGCCGCAGGGCCCCGGGCAGCAAAATTTCGCAGGGCCCCCCTTTTGACACGGCGCATGAGCAGGGCCTTGGGAAGCGCAGGGCCTGGGGCAGCCGCCCTGCTCGCCCTGCCCTAAGTCTGCCGCTGGTGTTGCAAATGCATACTGCACTTATAATGCAGTACGGGCCACTTGCTATAAGTGTGACTAACAAGAAAAATTCAATGTTCAAAACAGGCTTTAGTTTGCCTTCTTGCTGCCACTGAAGATGACTCTCTGCACTAAAACTCACTCATCTTAAGAGATTTGCAAAGTTTATTTTGCAGTTGCCTTAATAATGGATTTAATCTCAATTCCATCAATTTGGTTAATAGCCAAACCAAATGTTAAAATACCAAAGTAGTCCTATTTAAGAAGCATAAGCCTATCTTTCAAAATTCTTTAAAACTGTAGTATGGAAGGAGCACAATTAGTCAACATATTGACTTTAAATCTCACTCACTTTTCTTTAGTGAGTAATGAGTATACTACTTGAGTGTCACATTTAAATGTAGATCTAAATTTCTTTAGAAGCTTTTTTACAGCCCTGATGTTCATGCATGATTTAGTACTAACAGGTACTCCTGTTTAACAGCAGAAGGTTCAGAAATCTGGTATGTCCTTCTTGACAAGAAATCTTAGTCTCTAAAAACATGGTCTGTTTCTATTCATCTTTATCAAGTCAGACTTGTTTCTTCTTGCTTGCCTCTCCATACCTTTCCCTTAATTATAATCAGGGATATGTGCCGGGTGCAAACAGATTGGCTTGTGTTAAAGCTGACACAACCAGCCAATAAAAAAAGCCCTTTCTGGCTAGTGGCATTGCAAGCATTGCCTGGCTGCTACAATGAAATAAAATTAAAAATAAAGCAAGGCCTTTGAAACCGCTCTGAATATGTAGGTTAAATCAGTGAACTCACATCAGCAGTCACAGATGGCAGACACAAACTTTTCTTTGGTGAAGAAT